TCTCAGGGTCTGCTTGCGTCATAACCCAACTAAAGGCTTGGAAGGAGATGGGAGTGAAGGAGAAGAAAGAACAGATGTTTTCCTAAGATTGATAAGAGATTACTCAGTTTGGTTTAAACACCTGCTCATTCAACTGTGAAGGGACAAGGTACCTTTAGAGAAGAGGATGCCAGTTCAATTGATGACTCTTCAAGGCCGAGATCTCGCCTTCTTTCAGCTCGAACTTCCGCATAACTAGGAAAAAAAAAATTAAAATCCAGTTTTTCAGTCTGGATATTATTTACTGTATGGTAACTATCCTACCGTACAGGTAACTCTGGAGTTTTCATGTTGAGTCACAAGCTTTGCAGAGCACACACTCACACTCTCTCATATACAAGGTGCTTAGAGGAACATCATCATACAGCCTGGCAATCTGAATAACTGCACATCCTGAACATCCACAGATTAGTAACAACAGGGCAGTGTCCCAGTCCCACTGCGCCCAGGACTGCAGCGCCTATATGATTAACTGCACGAATAATTCCAAGCACAAACGTAAACACTCCTTTCCAAATTTTGGCCCTGGATGCTTTCCAGCTAAACTAATCTAAAAGAAAAGTGCACTTGGTTATTGAAGACAAAATGGGTGTCTTTGTCCTCAGTACAATTTTCCTAGTAAAGGAGATTTCAATTTTTCCATAATTAGGCAGAAAAATGATCCTGCAGCTTCTGTGCACATAAACTGCCATAGCAAATGCACATTCATTTTCTAACCTGCTGACGATCAAGAATCAATCTTTTGCACCTTGCACGGTAGTTCAGTGGGACCTAAGGCAGCGTCCTGGGGAAGAGGGGGGTCAGGTCCCCTCTTTCTGAGGTGCTCACAGTGCCGTGCAGCGTGCTACATCAGAGTTAAGTTCCCTCACTCCAGTGGAAGCTCTGAATACAAACCAACGGCTGCCCAGGTGCAGGGATCCCCAGGAATGTGCCTCTAAAAGGGATTATTTGCTTTCCTTACTATTTTTTTGTCTTAAATAATAAAACATTTACAGTAAACAATGCCACATGATTCACCATTGGGATAAATTGGAGAGGATGCTTTAAAGACACTCTGAGTGCTTGTGGATCGTGGGCACTGAAAGGTGCCAGAATTTACGGTGTTGAAATATTAATGGGCCATAACCTTTGTGGGAGGCAAGAGAAGCTGCTGAGCTGAACTCACATCATCATAGGCACTGAATTTTCCTGAAATCATGTTTTAACTTGTGTGTTTCAATAATATACTCTAAAAGTTAAGTATATGAGACAGAATTGAATTTCAAAATCCGTTTAGGACTATACTATATCCCTGGAAGTGTTTATATCCCTGGCAGTGTTCAAGGCCAGGTTGGATGAGGCTTTGGGCAACCTGGGCTAGTGGAGGGTGTCCCTGCCCATTGCAGGGGGTTGGAACTGGATGGGCTTTGAGTTGCATATGCAACCCAAACCATTCTATGATTCTATATCACTAGGTTTAAGAGGCACTAAAAGCAGAAAGAAGAAACAAGTTCATGCACAATAAATTCCGAAGCTGAATTCCCTGAAGGACGGCAGAAGCAACACAACTCAGAAGCAATCTCTCTGTCTAACATTTGCACATGGTAACACTTGACACGTAGTTTATATCACACACACAGAGCGCTCTAATCACACCTGTTTAGTGGTGTAAGGTGTTCTCAATCTGTGTTTCAGAATATGGAAGAATCCCAGTTTACTAGTGTTTGTTCTTCCAGATATTTGACAAGGAAAAAGGGGTGCAGAAAAAAAATTCATAAATTGATTCCTGACAGTGAGCAATATGTTTACTCAAGTTAACAGAGCAAACCAGCATGTCACTATTTTTTTCAAGCCCTTCAGTAAATATATTCTCACTCTTAACACAATCTTTTTTGAGATGACAGTGGTAATCAAGCAGATTCGCCTCCAGAAGGTGCGTATCGCAGAGCATCCCACACGCCTTCCAGCACAGGTTTGCAACCCAGCACAAGCAGCTTTCCACTAGAGGGGGATCCTGGGCTGAGTTTCAGGTGAAGAATAAGGCAAGCAGGACAGCAGCTAACTTCAAGTCATAAATATTTAAAGCTCCGATCAAAAGGTTTTGTAGGAGATGTATGATCCCATTCATGCCCATAAAGCCGTCTGATTCTTTAATTCTTCAGCTTTAATTCTTCCTATGGCCATGTCATCGCTATGGATAAAAGGGGAATGTAACACACTGATAGACTTGGCCAACGGTGGCTTCCAGGCTTTTGGCCTGGTTGCAAAAAAAAAAAAAAGAGTAATGAAAACACATTATGCTTTTCCCCATGTTCCCTGTCATAATAGTTTTATAGAATTACATACCATCTTAGTGCATCAATATGCATAGCAAATATTTGGCTAACACACAACAGAACTAGAAAAAATAACGGATGACCACATGGGGCAGATGTTGTGAAGTGCTCAGTGCTTGCTCCTACCTAACTACCAGGTGAGTGCAAACGATGAACTCGGGTTTGGAATTCCACTGGTGGTAGGTGATGTAGTAGTGGGTCTGCAGCCATATCCACTGCTGGCCTTTGGTCAGGAACCGATAGTAACAGGACTTTCCTTTGCCAAACTGCATCACTGTTAAACAAAAAACCAAAGCAATTTATAGCAAGCAGAAATTTCATGGTGCAAAGGCGATTAGAAAACCCACTTGGTCCCATACCCCTCTTGCAGTCTGTGCTGCACTAAAATGGCTCTTGGGGCTTTATAAACACGACAGATGATACACGACCACGTACCGAGCTTTTACTTGGGTTCTTTTCTGCTACTGATTTTCAAGAGTGCATTTTGCTATTTTGAGATTGTTCTTATAACTAATAATTGGCATAACTATATAAATAGCTATATTCTTGTAACTTATTTGTGGGCTCCTCTGAAGTAAGCGTAAATTACATTAATTAAACAAAGCATTGACCTTTCACAAGTACACGAGAATGTATTTCAAAGACTGGGAACTTGAAGTCAGGATCCTAATAATGGCACAAAACAATAAGATAGTGGAGTTTTAGCAGTTTAACTGAGAGTTTTCTTCCGAGAGATGACCTAAATACACCAGACCTGGTACTTATTATCAGGGTATGTCCAGAAAAATCTCAAGTGGTGTAATACAGCTGGAATATAATGAGGGGAACTACATTAAATAACCACACTAATTGTTTCCGGACTGCTGGGAGTATAAAATGAAACATGCTCACTTAAAATACCCATAATTAATGCAAAGTAAAATACAAGCATGGTTTATGCAAACCCGTTTCACTTCACAGTAGGCAAGATGCCCGCGCAGAGCGGTCAACCTGATGAATGGGAACTTACCAAGCCACACTAACCCAGGTATTTGTACTCACCTGCACACCCCTACTTTGTTAAATATCAAGACTAACTTCTTTAGGGATCCCATTAACAGTAATGGGCTTTAGATGAAGCGCTTAGCAAAGATCTTCTCGCTACTGCACTGTGCTGGGGACCACTCAGCTCCTAGTCCTGGCAGAGATTTCCTGAAGCAACTTCTCTAAGTCACTTTGCCAGCACCTTACTTGGTCCCCCTGCACAGTAAGATGAAAAGGTCCTTTCCTTCAGGTGTGTTGTGCAAATACTCTTTTAATACGTAAGAGGAGATCTGTGGCTAGTAGAGGTGTAGAACATAAATCACTAAACAGATTCTCTGCTGAACGATCTGACCCCGCTCTCAATATAGTTAGTGTCTACGTCAAACTGCACGCACATATTACAAAAAGGACATCGCCTGGTTAAGTAGCTCGCTTCTGTCTGAATGGTCTTTTTAGCAAACAGCACCAAGAAGTACTGTACTTGAGAGCAATTAAAATATTCCTGTAATATTCCCATCTGCACGCTTGCTGCACTTGACACAACTTGCATCTAGCCCCTTTCACCGCTTCCTTTGGGTGTTCAGCCGGGCAACCCGCTTCCCCGCCGCCTGTTTTGTACCAGCGCTTTGCCTTGACAGGGCAGAAAAGTCAAAGCAGGAAAGTGGAGCGGGGAAACTTGACATTCAGAGAAGCAGTCATTTCCTCCATTCTCTGCTAGGTCCTTTAGCATCTTATACATGTAAGTGGTGGAGGGTACGTGGTAGAGGTGGGGGTGGTTTGCAACTCAAAGATGAAGCAGCTTGTCTAGCTCCAGCGAGCTGGAGGGCTGAGGAGTTTCTTGGTGTCTGTGCATCGCGCTGCTCTGCGTCTCAGAGTAACTACAGCATCCCACTTTCTCCCCTCTCTGGGGTGTCCTTGTTTCCTTCTGGCAAAACAGCTCTCCTTTCAAACGGAGATAGCAGAGAGACAAACAGATAGAGAGTTTGCCCAACAGGAAACCTGTAAGTAATATTTCTTGGCAAAATACCTGATTACCTAGATGCATTTTACAAAGTGCACGGTTACTTTTCATTACGGTGCTTGGCAATGCAAACCAGCTGGAGGACAGACCTGATTCTGGCTGAGTATCTCAATTTGAAGTGCATCTAACAAAATGGAAAAATAGTCTCGGGGATAAAACATCTCACATGCTCATCTGGTAGGAAAAGTACACTGATTAATAGTAGACCACGTCTGCTGCATCCTTTTGCCCTTCTTCAGATCAGCGCCAGCCTTCAGCAAGCACTGCCGCGGCACTCGGGCTAAGGGCTCATTCTGACCTGGCTCCTCCTGGGCTCTTGCTGGTCACAGTGTTTCACCTTGCACAAAGATGAACTTCGTGGACATTCTCTGGTGGTCACACTTCAGTTTGAACTGGACTTTTCTGCTTTACTTTCATGTTGACCAAAAATGAGCCATCTTCACCCAGAGGAAATCTGTATTTGGTACTTTTGTATTTAAAAAAGAGTTTGAATCTCCAGAAAGATTTTACTAATAGTAAGAGAGGTTCACAACATCTAACTGCACAGGCAGGCAACCCAAATGCTGCTTTCAGAAGGCATTTTGGTGAGCTGAGCCTCCTGGCTGACTCTGGAGCCCAGGGGAACAGCAAGATGCCATGAACTGTGACAGTCAGCAAACCTCCCAGGGTTTGGGGCTGCCCTCACAACCCGGGGGCAAAGGATGTACGGATCTGACTTCCCATCTATTAATCTCATTTCACTCTCGGACAACCTGTGCTCAAACAAGGCACCTGCCCGTTTGGGAAACCTGCACAAAGCATTCCTGATCTGAGGGAATTCTGCACGGATTCAACCTCCCAGGTGAGCGTCAGCTATGACAGTCTGTCGTGGGAAGAGAGAATTCCCTCGTGCCCCAGATAAAGATGCCTTTAGCAACGGCAGTAAAAGTTTTTGCACGAGTGACAAATGAGATCAAAGACAGGCACACTGCGGAGGGAGAGGAACTTACAGTGTTCATGGCACCTAGCAAGAAGCTCCAGGTCGTCTGCGTGGTAGTAATCATACCCTGACGTTCCCAGAACCTCAAAGGGTAAATATCCTATAATAGGTGGAGCCCTAGAAGGGAAGCAAAGGGCAGAGAGTGAGCAAAAACCTGGCACATCCTGGTAGATATGCTGCAATAACAGCGACCAAGACCATCTCATATGTTCACTTGGCAGGGAAATGAGGAGTGGATTTTCATATACACAACAATGTATTTTCTTATACAAGCAAAAAAAAAAACCCAACCCAACCCAACAAAACCAGCGAGGGAGAGGTAAAAATTGAGAAAATGAAAAGGTGTGTGTTTACTGTTTCATAGCCTATTCATTATGTGGGCGTAGAGAAAGGCATGTACGTATGCAAGTGACTCAATTCATTAAGCACGCTTGTGAGACACACAGCTTGAGAAACGCTATGGCTGTTCATGTGCATAACAACTTGGAACTCGAGTAAAATTATCCAGTAGGTTGGATGTAAATGTCATCTGGGTAGTAACTGTAGAAGAAAGAGTAAGTGGGAAGCTGCAATGTGTGTCAGGACCAGCTTGGGTAAAAGAAAAAGTAATTGTTCCCATGGAAAAGCTTGGGAAATTATAAGCAGTAAAAAATACTTCTATGCTGGTCGTAAAGATAAGAATAGGCATGGGACTGATTTTACGGACTGTTATTTCTATGGCAGGTAGAGAAGAAATCAAGGAAGTATTTAGACTTACCTGACTATTCTGCTGTCAATTCTAGATTTTCCATTTTCTAGGCAAAACACAAGGTTTTTTTTTTTTAAAGCAGGTGTCCTAACAACCCTGAGCTTATGCGCAGCCTTCACCAGAGCCTGCTAGCTTGTGATTATGAAACAACACTGAAATGTGAGGAGAAAAACCACTATTTTTGCCTCTAGTCCCTGCATCAGCATGCCACCTGCTGTCGTCCCCCCCAACTCCTGCTTGCACCAATTCAAGCACCGCACGTCCTTTGGGAGGCAGGACTTGTGCTCATTTGGCTCCACCTGTTTGTTTTGGCTGCTGGATGTGCTGACAGCATGAGGCTCACCTGCCGAGTTCAGCACGTTGCTCAGGAATAAGGTGGCGGTGCGTTAGCGAAACGGTTAACGTTTCAAACCCAGGGCAGGCCGAAGGTGGCACAGCCCATCAAACGTGCCTCTCCCACTGCCTTTCTCTTGGTGTTCCTCTTAAGGAAGGGGAAGGTCATAAAGTGGCCAAGAACATGAGCAAAAAAATTAGTTAAATGTAAGTACATTTGGGTTTGGATGGATCAGTCCTGAGTCTTCTTGATATTAATGTGGGAAGGTCTCCTGTTGTGTCTGAGCAACCCAGCTCTACATTTGTACTCTTCAGAGACATGGTGGGCATAGATTATCCAACTAAAGAGCCAGACAGGTCTATAAGCTCTCTCTTCCCCACGACCACGAGCAATTTGGCACCAAATGGGAAACAGGGGAAAGGAAGAGCAGCCAGGGGTCTGCTCAACAGCAGCCCCAGAAGGATGAGGGTCTCAGCAGCAGCTCCCCAGGCCCAGCACAAGGGGTTGGCTGGAAGAGCCAGTCCTCCACACTCTCTGACGGCAAATCTCTTGAAACGGAGCGCGCTTAGTACACAGTGGTCTCTGCCACAACACAGCCTTATTTATCCAAATAACTTCTCATAGAGCGCTGTGTTCCTTTTCCTCATGTGACCCAGATTTCTGTTAATGATGATAATATGTGTATTTATTAAAGAGTCCTTCCTTGCTGTCTCTTTGGCAGAACGTGCCAGTGACTCTCCTATCTTTAATGACATGCTTATATTCAAAACAATAATGTCTTTCAGATGCACATCAGATAAACATTTAAGCTGATCAGGAAAGTATTATGCTTTCCTGACTTTCACCAGAATTCTTGAAATGAGAAAGCAACCACAAAATGTTCCTCATCTGTCATTTGACAAGGAGCTGCCTTGCTTGTGGAACAACGTAAAAGTGTCTTGTTAGCTTAAGTTCCAGCCTCGAGGCCTGCAACTCGCTGTGCAAATGGAAACACAATCTTCAGAGAGCCGTTCGAGTGCAGTCTTTTAATAAATGAAGGGAAAATAAGGAGAGAACCACAGTGCAGAAGAGAAATAGGTCATATCAAAGTTGACAGGTTTTCTTCCTCTACATGTAGACCCAGAACAACAGATTTTTCCTAGTTTTCTAACATTTATCCAGATCTGTGGAGTGCTTTCTGCATTATTTATCTTTACTCCAATTTAGGCCATCGTCATGATAGCGAAGGTCCTGATTCCAACTCCTGCTGGGTACCCTCTGCCCCTACTGACGGCACACCTCAGCCTTGGGTGCCGTCAGTTGGTACAAATAACCAAGAAACAGCAAAATACCCAACAACATCTCACAGCGTCCTGCGGACTGTACTGGAGAGAAGTCTGAATCAGTGATTTAATGAGACAACCCACAGGATCCCCCACTCCTTCTTGGGTCTGGGCTCGCTGCTCGCATCTGGGGCTGTCACAAGCTCTGCCTCAGCATCTGCATCAGCTTAATTTACTGTCAGTAACAACGGTTTTCTCACTGGGGATATCAGTGGGACCAGAGCGGCTGCAAGCACCCGGCGCAGAGATTCCTCTCTGAGTCATAACCCAGATTCATCAAAAGACTCTTTGAAAGGTTTCAGAGCAGCTCCTGCTCGCCTCATTCACAGGAGCTGCTGGGACACAGCCCTTTGGAAAACCAGCTCACTCTGTCAGACAGGGAAATAAGGGGCTTAGGGCTCTTTTATGAATCTTAACATTAATCACCTGATTCTGAAAATGTGCATTATTGGGCAGGCCAATTAAAGTCTAACAAAGTCACTCCAGCAAGATCTTGAGAACATGAATAATAAGTCACCTGTCCCAAATCACACAGCGTTAACCGTAGGGCTGTGGCAGGGTCAATTCCTTCATGCTTCAAGGTATGATGCGTGAGGTATACATCTTGTTTACTGTATCATAGAATCATAGAATGGTTTGGGTTGGAAGGGACCTTAAAGCCCATCTAGTTCCAGCCCCCAAGTTATTATTCATTTATATTTGCTCTCTCTCTCGCTCTAAATGTGCAGAGGATATTTACCTTTTTTTCCCTCCCAAATATTTTTTTCACTTTGTCCCTACAGTCTTATTTACTAGTCTTCTATTTCTAGTAATGACTACCTTTGCGCAGCTTACAAAGGGAGGGATAATGGAAAGGGTAGGATTTTGCAATGTGCTTATGCATACATGTCAAATACAGAGAAGTAAAAGAGTGAACAAAACACTCCAGCTTCTTTTGAAGGAAATGGATCCTATATTAATCAGCTTAATAAAGTGATTCCAGTCTGCTTCTGTCACCAAGCGGAATCCTAGCCCACCGTATGGCATTGTCAAAAACAAATCTGCAATTAAATCATCTAATCCATTGCTTGTTATTTATTTTTAGAAATTCCATCATTTTTCAAGGTGAAAATCAAAAGTTTATTGACACAGCAAAAGATTTAGAAGGATTCCCGGAAGCTGTAGCTGGAAAACAGAGGAGCTAAACCAATGCAGGGAACAGACCAACACTGCTCAGTTTTAATGACTTGATATCTTGGTGAAGTTTGACATTTTTCTAGGCATTTTCTCACCATTTTATTACCTGCCTAAAACATGGAAAAGAGCAAAACATTTAAGAATGCCTAATAAGTAAGTTCAGAGTATTATTACTTACTCAGTTGCATTTAATTAGAGCTATTCTACTTGGGATCTCAGGCAATAGCTACACAAAGTTTTCTATTTTTAAACTGCAGTTTGTTTATTCTTCAGTGACTAAACCCAAATCTCTTACCTGTGGTCCAAGAATAAAAATTTCCATTCCAAACTATGCCTTGATGTAAATTCTTCACATGGCTCTTCAACGTTGCAGAGCTCCTGCAAAACAGTTGGCACATTCAGACATTTAATTCTATGAAATGACAAAAGGAGCCCTCTATCAAGACCAAGGATGCATCTTCTTGGTATAACAAACCCTAGGAAAATACAGTGCTTTTAAAGCACTTATTTTCCTCTACGGAATGTATAAGCCTTGTTTTATGGATGTGTAAACTGATGAAAAATGGCTGAATAATTTACCCTGGGCTGAATTTCAGAGCTAGGATAAATAGTCCAAGGGCCTCATCTTGCAGTCTGTAAGCAAAATTCCCCAGCTTTTTGTAAACATTGGTATCTGAAGATGGATGACAGCACCAGGCCCAGCCTCAAACCGAGCTGGCTAATGCTCTCTTGAGCAAGAAGCACTTATGGTCGTTATCCCTGTCATCACTGCACTGCTCCACAGGACACTTACAGACCAGCAGAAAGAGCTCATGAAACACGGTGTTCACAGTGTTTCAAGACGCGGGTGGCCTTACACAAAGCGGGGGGGGATGTATTTCTTTAAAGGCTGCAACTTTTCAAGCGGTGTAGCTGGTCACCTTGCATTGGTGCTTCCTGGGCTGGCTGCTCTGAGACACCCCAGCACATGCCACCTCTTCTCAAAAGCAACTCCCGCTTTATATCTCGTCGTTCCAAAATACATACTTAGGTCGTCTCCCACTGACAAACACAGCAGTGTCCTCTCTCATTTCCCAACCCTCTGCACAAACAATCTGAACATACTCTTCAAGAGGCTGCTGCAACACGCCAAGCACGCAGCTCGTGGCACCAGCAGCAGCTCTGCTGCTCGGCACCGGCCGGTCCCCGCACAAAAGGGAAGATGCAATCGCAGAGCTCTCACCTTTAAGAACTGTGGTGTGACAAGCCGAACAGTTGCTACGAGGCAAATCTGCTCCTCCGTGGCTGACCTGAAAGCTCGTGCAATAGCTGACTCAAAGCCATTACAGGAGGGTGTAGGCACTAGACACAACCAGACAATTTATTTAAGAAGAAGAGGAAGGAGAGCTTTCTTTTCATGTTAAGACAGGTACAATGACTGACGAAACCCAAGCAACAAACTCCTCCTACCCACGAGGCAATGCCACACTGATACATGCTGATGTTATTTAAAGTGTGACTCTTTAGGCTCCGAGTTATGCAGTTGTAACCACCTACCCCTGGCTTGGAGGGAAGCTTCATAAGAAGTGTGCAGCTACAGTCTCCATGTCAGCCTTTCTCCAGCTCAACATTTGCAGGATTCAAGATTTTACAGGTTTCTCAAACTATTGAATCTTTAGGGAGTGTCATTTGATTGCCCCAAGTGAAACAGAATAGCCTATTTTACTGGTTATTTGAATAAGTAGGCTGCTTTACAATTGGCAGTGGGTCAGATGGAGGTAGGCTCAGTCTGGTATCACTTCTTGAAGCACAGCATGCAGAAGAATGCACTCTTCTGACCAACAGCCTCCCCACCACTTTTGTATGAAAATTATCTCCAACATATCCACAGCTCATTCCATCCCTGTAGATTACGGGGCATTTTCAGCTGAAACAAGGCCTTCAGGAGGCTACAGATCAACACACAATTTAAAGGAGAGAGGTAGGGAGGTAAAGGTAGGCTGGTGCAGTAACTTACCATGAGTAAAATATTTAAAATCCACTACAAATTTCACATATTCATACATCAGGGGTTCATTTGGATCTAAGCTGCCTCTTGCTAAATGGCAGCAGAACTCTATTTGTTTTTCCGCTGTAATGAGAGGGAGACATACAAATGTTACTAGAACTCTGCACTTTAGCACACTCCATATATCAAATCTATCTGTCTGAGCACACCCTACTGCGATGCTCTTGATACCCATAAGTAAATATATAACTATTAGGAGCAATGACCAGCTGGTTAAGGAAATGCATTCTGCCCCTTCCTCCCATGTCTTTACAGCCACAGCGCTGTGCTGGGAGTGAAGCAATATCGGTCAGCAGTATTTTCCCCGACTTTGTGCATGCGCGATTTCATGCAAATCTGCAAAGTGATATCGCAGTACTCTGCTCCGGCACTGCTCGGCAGGACCCGGATCCAAAGGGCACTGAAGTCACCCTAAGCCTTTCCATTAATGGTGGAGGGCATCGTGCCAAGCTCTTATTCAGTTTTCTGCCCGAGGTCTGAACTCCATGGATTAGACCATGCAGTCTTCAGCTGGAGGGAAACCAACCCCAGCGCAGAGCACCAGCACGAGGGCTGCCCAGCTCCCACTGCAGCTTACGGGGCAGCAGAGAGGGGATGCTAGCACTGCCCGGCCACGGCGAACCCACCGGGAGAGGGGGGTCCCACCACAGCCCTGGTGAAACGTGGATGTTAGGAAGATGCTGCTGCCCACTCTGGTGCTGGGGACATGTTTCTGGGGGAAAGGGACATTTTGGGAGTGGGACAGCAGCCAGCAGTAGCGACCCGGATGGGCTGTTCAGATAGGAAGGCTGTTGCTTAAATCACATGTAGGGTTTCTCAGGTGTCCTGAGACACAGACTCATAGAATCATTTTGGTTGGAAAAGACCTTTAAGATCATCAAGTCCAACTGTTATGCAAGCTTCCTAAGGAGCAAAGATTCTGCCAAAGCCCTTTGGGATTTCTCCTACCCTTTTCCATCCCCCAAGCCCCTCACTGCTTTCACAGGCTCAGCCCAGCATCCTGCCCTGGGAAGAATATCAAACGAGGGCAACAACTTCACTGTCCTATGATGCAAAGCAGACAGTAAAACAAAGACTGTCCAAATCAAAGACTAAGTACTGGGAGCATGTAGGAACATTAGATGATGTACTGCATTAAAACCCAGAAATATTAACCGCGGCAAAACAGAAGTGGCAGGCAGGAGAATGAAATAGCTGAAGAGCCCTGTGCAGGCTCCCCCGGGCGCTGTTTGCCTTTGGCAAATCTCCCTGACCGACAGACAAGAGCAGAGCTTACCGTTTAGAAAATCAGCTGCAACAGGATCTGTCATGAGCACATGTGGAGAAAGAAGCTTGTACACCTCGCTCTGCTCCCGCTCAGGCAGAAAGTTTAATATATTTTGGTCCACCAAATCTGACTGATACAAAAGAATGCTTTGTCATGTTCAGCAGTACAGCCTGACACAACCACACGCCTTCTCATCCCGCAGCAGAGCACAGACACTGCCAGTCTAGCATGGGTGCTTAAGACTCGGAAGCCCAGTCAATCAGCAGATGGATCTAGGGCAGAATATAACCCTTAGGTTATTTTACCCAGGGGTTGCTATCTATTTGCAAAAAGTTGAATGGATCCCAGAGGCTGCCCTCCAGTTAAGCCAGATGCAAGCTGGAAAAGAAACCCTGGTACCACAGGAATTCAACATGATGAGAAATATCATATCAAAATGAAAATTTGAAATATTTCCCTTTGGAAGCACGAGGCACAAGTGGGAGGGCTCCTCCTCACATCCTCCATTTGTCTTCTAAGCTGAACATCTGGCAAAATCAGCTCGACCTGCAAGTGTTTCAGTGCTGATAAACCCACACATCCCGAATTAAGGGGTTCTACCAAAATGTCAGCACATATTTGTTTCTTTGCGCACCAGGACATTCAGCCAGGTTAACTATGTGCTCAAATTTGCCCTCGTATAGCATCTTTGGTGCCTCATGCATGGCACCACATAAAAATAAAAAAAGTTTTTGAGGGGCCAGCAGAAATCTCTGCACCCAACAGCGAACTGATTTCTAGAAATTCTCCCAGAAAACTCTGAGGCCACACACTTGTTACTAAAGACCATGGGCACAAAGTAGAAAAACCCAATGTCATGAGAAGAGCGTAGATTCAGTCCTGAAATAATCTTTAAATTATGTGAGCATGCAGAGTTTTCGCAAGCGTGAGATTTTCCATATACCTGGTGGGATAAACAGCACCCAGACCAAGTGGTGAGCTACGAGTACAGTGATTTTGCATAGGTTTTTTTTTTTAAGCTAACACACAGACCCTGACAGGGAATCTGTTATTCACAGGAGCCTGAGAAACTCCCTAAGAGTTTGTTGGTTTATCCCCCAGCCCTGCAGTGACGGACGGGGCTGTGTTAAGGCAGGGAAATGATTCCTCAACATATTGTGTTGTCAGAACTTACCGGTAAGTGTCCAAGCAGAGACGAAACACTATCAGATACATAAATAATAATCCCATCAGTGGTAAGAGCAATGAGAAAGCCATCTAGTGCCTAATGATAAAAGGCAAGCAAAAAAAGAAAAAAAATAAAAAGAATTATGCAAGGGAACAACTTAAAATATAATAGGCTAATTTATTCTTTGGTGATGCTTCTAACAGCCTAAAACTAACATAAATCATTTATGGAAATTATGGTTTAATGCAGAAAAATAAAAATTACACATGCTGTCTAATTCAACATTCTTCTTATATTCTTATTTGCTCATTAACATTAAATTGACTTGTATTTTTCACCCAGTGAGTATTTATTTAACATGAAGCAAGACAGTGGTGGTTAGAATTTCTACACCCACACAATCCTAGTGACTTCAGTCACTTCATTATGTTTTCTGAATTACACAATAGTTAACCAAGTCGGTGCGTAAGGAGATGTTAGATATCACCAGGGCAAACCCAGCATTGTGGATGGATGAATGGATGGATGGATGGATGGATAAGCAGAGACAGAAAAATTGGACAATGTTGTATTTTTAGCAGTTTATGGACAAAATCTAAAGCCTCATTTATTTTGCTTGAAGCACTCATTTGTTAAGCTAGTGACACAACAATTTTAAAGTTTGTTTTGTTTCCTGTTTCTTATTCACAATGGCTTCTGTCCTGCAGTCGAAGTTCTCTGTCCCTTTTAAGTCACCACACGTGCTTTCCTCTTTGGATGTTTTCCCTATTCTTCACAACATCTTCTTATGCCATTGATCCAGTGTCTGTCCCTGTTCTTCTCTAACACTTACCAAGATCTGGGATGTTTAATCTCTGGTCAGCACCGTGCACAAAGCCAACACTTCTAAAGACACTGTTAGGCTGCTCTGCAGCTTAGCTACGGGCAGCCAAAGATGCAGCACTCACCATGTTCCCCATCTCACTGTCATACTCTGCCTTTGCTGAAAATAAGCCCTCGCTGGAAAAAACCCCACTGATTTGAAGTAAACTTGTCAACAGTCTAACATAGTTCAGCAAGCCAAAAGTTATTGAAGGGCTCTCTCTCCCCGGCCACTTCTAAGGGGGGGGGGGGAATTTGTTTTGATTCAGCTGGAACAAACTAGCTTGTTTGGTGAGAGAAATTCCCAGAAAGAATGAACAGACTTTTCCAGGGAGGTGAGTCATGACATCCTGATGAAAAGGAATAACTAAGACACTGCAGCACCTCCCAGCTCAGCCCAGCATACACCCTTACTTTGGTGGGGCAAGGAGCACCAGCTGCCCACGCAGGGTAGAAGATGTCCTCGCCAGAGGAGCAAGCACCACAAACCCAAAGTCGCATCCTTAAGAAAGGAAAAAACATGGGCTCGTGGGGTGTTTCTAGATCAGCTAAGCATTTTAGAGGTGAGAGTATCACAGCTGTTCTCCTGAACGCACTTAGAGGCAATCTAAGCAAAAGATAGAACGTTCACATCACAAGTACAGCAGCGCACAACCAGCAGCAGCAAAGGCAGCAAAGTAAATGCTGCCAGGCTAATGGGAGGTGGGAGGAAGAGAGCTGCTATGCTTTTTTCAGGTCCTTTCAAGTTTTTTGCTAAGACTGCTAGCTCTAGCGGCGCTTCTGAGAAGGGTAATTCTTTCCTCTCTCACCAGGCCAAATCTGGGCCAAACTGGTCTTCATTCCTAAATGAAAAGCTGTTTATTTTTAAGGGGAAGCAATCATATTTTTAATTCTGTGTCTGCAAAGCATTTAGCACAACATTGGTCTCTGCCAGGTTTGTATTATATGTACCAGCAGAGTAGAAATCATTAACATTGGGACCTACAGGTGAAAAGGAACTGTATCTCTTTGAACTACTCCACTGAACTGATTACTTCTCACTAATCTATGCAGCTTTAATTTCTTCTTACCTCTAACATCAACTGGGTGAACTCCTCGTTGCTAAGAAATGAAGGCTTCCAGTCTTGTCTAATCTCACAGGCTTCTGTCTGTGCTGTGATTTCTTAAAGAGAAAACATCAAAAAAGCAACATGACTCATGCTAGTTGGATTTTTTTTTTTTTCATTTTCAAGTAACACTAGATTCCTTTTAAGAGGCTTTCAGAGGAATCATCCTCAGATCATTCTCCACACAAAGCCTTCTTGTATGCAACAGTCATTTTCCATGCCATCATGATACAAAATCAAGAAAAGGAAGAGGAAACATTTTGGGTGGTCTGAAGAAATCCTTCAAAAATGTCAGTGGGCTAATTTCAGAGTAGCTGAGCATCACAATGAGCAGAGGGTGTCCATGACTCTGGAGTTGTTTCAGGAAGGTTCAGGGGAGTGCCCAGGCAGCAGGACAGGCTGCACCCAGCCATGTCCTACCCCAGGAGACCCGGGAACAGGACACAGAAGCCCCTTTCCCCTGGCTTTTGTAGTGCATGCTGTTCCTCAGCTCAGCGAGGGAAACGGAGTGATGTCACTACATTTAAAAGCATACAGCACTGCATCTTTGCAAGTGTATCTGTGTTGAACTGGTCAGCACTGTATTCAAACCTAGCCCATTTTCTGAGGCCAACTGCTGTGCCTTATTCTGCCCTCACTTAGGTTCATGTCCTCTCTGGAGGTCTTAGATGCCTGGGAAAAAAGAGTTTTCATCTTCTGAGCGGAAACTGGCTGCTGGGCAGATGCAGAGCCAGCACCTTCAAAAGGAGCAAGCCAGCACCCTCCAATACCTTTCTGTTTCTGTAAGAAGTCGATGGTCCTCTGCAGTATTGTGGACTTGTCCATCTTGAGAGGGTAGCCGTGGCCCTGCAGCATCGTGCAAAGCTCTTTAATGAGGACATTGAACTGGTCTCTCCTCTTCTTTTCAGATTTGTTGCGTGATGCCCTGGGTGACGGAAACATAAATGCTGCTAAGTAAAATGAAGAACTTACAGCTACCCAGGGAGAGGTAAATGGCCCTGCCCCAGCAAAACACTTTAAATACAAGAATCAAAACTCTACTGGGACTGCTCATTTGTTTAAAATTAGGCTTGGGCGTAAGCGCCTTGCTGGTGCTTAGAGCCTTGCAGCAGGACTGAACTCACTGTCAGCAAGGAACACCTGGAAGTGACAGGTATAATTTACATTCATTGGAGCAAGACCGTGTCCTCTGCACATTTCAGTGGCAGTTCCCACTGTTTCAAAAGTGGTGATAACGAGTTGAAGGTGTTATGGGCAAAATTTCTCCAGCAGGAGAAGCCCCGGCATCTACACGCTCATGTTTTGCCCACCTTGTTTTTATGAACTTTTGTTTTGCAGTTAGTACACACACATATAAAGGTCAAAATGCAAAGGGTTCCTTATTCTCTGATTTACACTTGCAAAAGTAGTTTATCAAGAGACAATACTATGCAGAGACAACTTGACTGCAGAATAAAGTCAAACACATGCTCTTGTATCTGGTTTTGAAAACCTGCTGCCATGATATATGAAGCTGGGAATGTTAACAGTCTGGCTGCGTGGCCTGGTTGCGGCTGGGATAGAGTTAATTTTCTTCCTAGTAGCAGGTATAGTGCTGTGGTTTGGATTTCAGATGAGAATAAAGTTGATAACACACTGATGTTTTGGTTATTGCTAGGCAATGTTTACACCAAGTCAAGGATTTTTCAGCTTCTCATACTGCCCTGCCAGCGAGGAGGCTGGGGGTGCACAAGGAGCTGGGAGGGACACGACCAGGACAGCTGACCCACACTGGCCAAAGGGCTATTCCATACCATATGGCGTCATGCTCCATATATAACTGGGGGGAAGCTGGCCAGGCGTTTAGACCACGGCTTGGGAACTAGCTAGGCATCGGTGGTCTGCAAGTGGCGAGCACTTGTGCTGTGCATCACTTGTTTTGTATATTTTTATCATTATTATCATCATAATCTTCCTTTTCTGCCATATTAAACTGTCTTTATTTCAACCCACAAGTTTTATTTTTTTCCCCCTGATTCTCTCCCTTATCCCTCTGACAGAGTGGGGAGTGAGCGAACGGGCATGTGGTTGTTTTAGATGCCTCCCAGGTTAAACCACGACACTGTGGAAACCACAAACTAGTTTCCAGCTTGCATGAACACAATTTAAGAATGTTTTATTAGGGTTTTCCCCTCCATTAAAAACAATAAAGGGGAAAGGAAATCCATTCAGTTTCTTCCAAAATGTTCTTTCCAATGCTCATATCTGAGATAACCCTATTTTCATACAACCTCTTCCAGTAGTAATTAATTTTCTTTACAAGTGTATTCATGATGATACATGCTTCCTGTGATCTAGACCGAATGTGGTATGCAGAAAGCATTTCCATTCATAGTCAGGTTGGCATTTGGAGGTTCTCAGCTCCAGCCATCTCTGATTTGGCACTCGTGTACGATGACTAATTAGAACTGAGCCAAACGCTTCTCTGAAGGGAGACAAACTCATAGCTGTGCTAAAGCAGGACCGCTCTCAGCTTCATGGGGAACTCTACCCCAGGCGGGCAGCACTGCGTGATGCCAATAAAAATCAGAGGTCAGGAGTCCTGTATCGAGATAATAAATAGCCTTGGGAAAACATGAGATTCTGAGGGCACAACAACGTAATTTAAGGACCACTCAGCTGATTAACCCATCATAGGGGTGGGTCAAGCACGGTATGAGAAGCTTGAAAATGGTGACTTAATTCTGCTGTTTGTGATCTGCTATACACAGCCTGTGAAGTGCATGGGGGTCTTGCCTCTGACATCAGTAGTCCCAAGGACTTTTTCAAGCATTGGACAACACAGCAGTTACAGTTCTCCCCTGGGAGAGCTTCCACTCTCCATGCTCTGTGCATCCCTTCATACCTCTTTGCCCTGTCCTTCTCATCTTCATCCATCAGTTCGTTTACACAACGCAGGGCTCTAGAAGGAAAAGACAGAAGTACTTAGTGAGACATATTCCCTGATCTTGCTGAGGATGTCAAAATATGGAGCTTACTGGTTTGTGCTTTATGACCTCCTGGATGTTTCAATCTTCCCCATCCCAAACTCTACTCTTGTTATGTAGTTTCTTGCTTCTGTCAGCTACTGAGGCTTGAGAAGTGAAACCATCCCAACATACAGCTACAACAAATGTGACTTTAGAGAGAAAGAGCTAAGAGCCAGCAGCCCCTCAGCCTGCCTTTGCATCCCCCTCTACCACAGGATGGGGAACCCTGCCGAAGCACTGAACTCTGCACAGGAATCAGCATCTGCTCTGCAAATCTGCACAGGAATCAGCATCTCTCCCACAAATGTGAGAGCCAATTTGTCTCTGATGTCTGTACCAGGCAGCACCGCGCCTGGTCCTGTTTTGGGAAATCAAACAGGTTGCTGGATGATTTCAAGCGTTGCAGTGCTTGAAAAGCACCTGAGATTTCTTTTCCAGTGGAAGGGCATAGGAGGAAGAAGGAAACTGTGCTAATCCCCCAAAGGATTAGTATTAGGCGACAGCAGGGTACTGTCAGGACATCTAAGAGATGATACGATAGACAGGTTCATCCAAAGCATCCTGCAGCCAATGACTGTTGCTTGCACTGATGGACTTCCAGCACATCATCTGAGCTGCATCCTACCACTGGAATTCACACCCAGGACTTCAAGTTAAAACTGCCTCCCCTGGCACTAACCAGTGAAAAGAAGGGAATGTGACCTGAGTTCCCTGGGTTCTATACATTCCTGCACCAGAGCAGTCATTGTAGGCTGCTGTCTTCACCTTAACTGTTCCTGCAGTTGGCAACAGCTCCCAGTAGGGACACAGTACTCTCAAGCCCCATGAAATGATGGAAGATTCAACACAAAGGTAACTTCTTCACTGGTGACTTGCTTTCTGTGTCTCAGATGGGCTAAGTCTGAGGGATGGGGAGCTAGGCAGATGCAGGCAAGCCATCTGTCATCACTCCATGCCATGTCACCCGGTTCAGCTCTGCTGGGTTGCACCCCCTTCAGAGACCTCCAAAGAGGAAATCACACCCGTCTCCAGCATCAGCGCCAACCTGCCTCCACCTCTAGTGAGCATTTTCACTGGCAAAACCCTCCCACCCCGCCCGACACCTAAGGAGCATTTTTAACGGGTACATCCAAATGTTTTTCCCTGCTTTGAGACTACTCCAAGCTCAAACAACTTGGCCACCAAAGTTACTTATAAAAGTGACATGAAATAAAACCACTCACAACTGATAGGAAGTCAAAGATGCTGCTCACAGTAAAAGCTACAAAATTTCACCCTTCCTTTCCTGCTCCAAGGCAAGGATCTCCCTCCCTGCAAATGACCTGGGCAGAAAAAACTGCATGATGTATGAAATATGAATGCACTCCATGGGGAGGGAGTGGTTCTAACTGCCTGAGTCATTGCAAGCTACAAGCCAAATTAGAAATTACCTGTTCTATTCCTCAGATTCATCAGTCCAGACTGATGGAGTGGGATTAGCACTTCTTATCACCATGTAAATAGAGACGGAGAAAAAATAATCCTGGAAGGAAAAACAAATCCAGTTAAAACACAGTTGTAGGCAAGACTTAGCCTAGAGAGCAGCAGTCACTTCAAGCTGAAAAAGTCTACCACTGTAAATTAGTAACATGCTCAAGTGAAAGCTCAGCAAAGCCTCCAGGAACGGGACCTGGACCTGGACCATGTTCTGGGGCTCCTGGCTCTGTGTGCACCACCTGCTGCCACAGAAGAAGCCTGGGATGGCCAACTTGACCTCTCATGTCCAAAAAGCCATGTGGCCCAGCAGGGTAGAGGAATGGCCCTACTAGCTTGGGGCCACCAAGGAGCAATTGGAGTCCTTCCAAAGTATGACAGTTTGCTTGGCATGCATGCTATGAAAACCAGCAAGTATGATCCATAATCCATCTATCCAATCTTGCAACCAAAAACCTCCTTCGAGATGAACATGATCAGCTAAAGTCAGCGCAAGCCACAACCACCACCTGTGGACGGATTTAAGGCCTCCCATTAAGATTTGTTACTGATGGGACACACACGTCACCTTTTCGTTTGCGATTTAAACGATTGCTACTGAAGATCCTGAACTCCTGACTTCCCACACCACAGTGCTCATCTGTCTGAAACCATCGTTGTTAAAACTTGTTTGGCTTCAGATGAGCCTCATTCTTAGGAAGGACACAGATGCAACCAGACTGTCCGTGACTGACAGTAATATCTTCAACAACAGCCAAGTGCTGGGCTTCCAAATTTAACAAGCTTTTAATGCCCTTGCAGTGACCTTCCCACTTTGAGCCCAGGTTCATGGCTGTTTCTCCTCTTACCATTAGTTCCAACATCAGCTCCAGACACTGCAAAAAACTTGCTGCCACTACTAGGGATCACATATTTGTAACCATGGTGAACAAGCAAACATATCCCCACATTTTTGATCATCTAAAGGACTAGCAAGAGCTTGTTCATTTCTCCACCTAGTGAAAACACCTCAAAGGGAAGGAAACACCAGAAGGTGGCTGAAGAACCACCACAAGAGACACACGTCAGGCACGCACACTGGGAAGGGCAGCTGGGACGGGGCAGCGGCTGACATTGTGGGACTGCTGCTAAACACCACGAGCAACAGAGACCTTGACCAGTGATACAGTGAGAGTGCTTTTTATGGGAGGTTTACGTGAGTAACGTGAGACAATGGGCCAAATTCCTGCTCACTGCAGTCCGTTTGCTCAAAAAAATTGGCTCAGATAAAGTGTGACACATTCATTGTAACCAGTAATATGGAAGGTACCTGCAAGAGGCTTGAACCTCCTGCACAACAGAAGTACAAGAGTAACATATAAAATACCTAACGTGTTCCAGCAGTAAGTGAATCAGTACCAAATGCAGTCAGGATGAAGTGATCATTTTCAGCTTGGAACATGAACTTCCAGGGATGCTCTCACACAACTCCTGATATCCTCAGCGAAGCTACGGCTGAAAACACCACCTGCCTAGCAGGCTTAAACACGGTGGATCTGCTATGCTTCTGTTCTCTTAGTCGTCGTACGCCAGTCAAGTTACAAGCTTTTATTCTAGTTCAAAAGGAGAGTGTGATCTTATTTGTTACCCTATTGAGCTATTATAGAATGCTCATCAGTCAGTGCTGTTTGACCAAAATCATACAGTTGTTTCTCCTCTAGAAGAGTGACCCATACAGAAGTTTTGCTAACTTGTAATAATTTTGGAGATACGTAGGTATAAAGAAAATTCTTTCTAAAGCAATGGGTTAAATTATAAAAAATGCTTATAAATACACAAACATCTACCACAATTTTTCAGGAAGCATTTTTTCTGTACGGGCTTAAGTATGCAAAAATTCAGCCAAACAGAAGGATTCTTCCCAAGCTTTGAGTGCAAAGCTTTATGCAGAAACCTTCACGCTGCCTTCCCCTAGGTTGTCTAACAACTGAAAACTCTCGGGAAGCCTGACAGGTTTCCTGCCTCGTACGCAGGGTCGCCCTCCCAGCCACCTTGAGTAGCTCAGTCAACACCAGACTTTGAGGCTCTAACAGAATAAATGGCCAGAAAAGAATTCACAGGCCCAAACACACAGAGAAGCTTTTTGCATGATGCAGCAGGATGGTGAACTACAAAAAGTCTTAGCAGAAGACACCTAAGGACAAAATATTCTTAACCGGATTAAGCACTTCAGGACTACATTTAGCTAAGTGCTTTTTGTCTTGTTATGAGCCAGAGCTAAATATAGTAGCCAAAATACTTAAGAATAGTTTCATAAGGGTTGTACACACTCCTCAGCAAGATAAGGCACTTAGCACTACTGACAGCAGTATGTCTGCATGTTAAGAGTATTTTAAATAGCTCTGGATAGAATCTCTTTGACCTTAACTGTATTAACCAGAGGGATCAAAATTTATTTATTGCCTCCTGAAAATCCTCTCCTGCAATACTTGGAGAGGATTCCTGAACTCTATGGGCAGGTAAAGAGAGAGGACACTTGTCCGTGCTGCTAGCATCGGTTTTCACCCCACCTACAACAGGTGAGGATCAGCTTTCTCACAGAGAGATGCACATCCATCATTACTTAATTTTCTTCTTCCCTTGTACAGGGAGTCTCATAAAAACACTCACAGCATTTTAAGGGCAAGTTATATTTTAGACTTTTCAAATATCGCAGTATTTGAAGTTGTTTCCAGGGTTACAGAAAGGGTAATGCAGTATGACAGCCTTAACAAGACAAATGGACTTCTCAGACACAGCTAATAGTTAAAGCACTATTCCATGCTATCTGCAATATTCTGGCACATTTGTAACTGAAGAGAGAATGGGAGAGGGAATTTTTTAAAAAATCTTTGTTTTGCAGAACTGTCTGACTTCAGGAGCTATCTAAAACTGCAAACTTTTGACTAAAGAAAATGTTTATTTATTGGCTTGCTGCAAATCACCAAAATATTAACATTACCTTAGGATAAATCTTAATGGAACATCACATTAGTAAGAATGTTCCCCTGAAACCAGCACTTCCTGTGAATGCTTCATTACAGCTTTAATTATTTGGTTATGTCACTGATGGCAAGGCAAAGATCACTCTACGAGTGTAATGCTCCACATTGTGATCAGTAACAAATAAAGCTTTCATCAGTCACCTAAAAATGGTCCCTGAACCCAGCTAATTTGATTGCTTTTCCCAGCTATATCAACTGGTCTAATTAAAAATATTCTCTCTGCATAAAAACTTCATTGTGCTTGCATTTAACATAAAATTTTGCATTTGAGTAATGTATGGCAGTTAGGGAGTCTTCAAATCTATACTGTAGGAAATATTTTAATTATGGAAATGTGCCGTGCTAATAATTTCCATAGATTTTACATGCAACAAATTCAGCAGAGAGCCCTCAATTACAAGATGCAGCACTTTGTGGCACA